TTGGATCGCTTATAGGACTGCAAAAATTGAAAATGTAGTTTAAGTATAATATAATATTGGTTTTAAAATTCCGTCGTTTAAATATACTAATCGCAAGAGAGAAAAGATCGCAAACACATAGAAACCTTTACCAAATTATGCTCTGAACTGATAGGGAGTCGGGGGACGAGGAATCGAATTATTTTTTAAAAAAATCTAACTTATTAATAAATGGGAATTAAATAAAATGATATTGTTTAAGTGGAATACTTTCATCGTGGTCGTGGCGTTGATAAGTCATGCATGTAAAGTATAATAACATTGGAAAAGTTTACAATAATGGAAATTGGGTGGACTGAACATAGCAAAATGCCAAAAGAATTAGGAATTTGCTAGTGTACTATTGTACTATACACATATTTTGTACGTCTTTAACATGCAAAAAAAATTCTTATGTACGATCATGCATTTCTTCCAAGTTCTAACAATGACTAAATACAAAATGTTTGGTTTAGTTTGGCTACTTAAATAAACCAGTTGACTAGTCAACTGTGTTGACAGATGTTGGAGTTGGTCACAGTCATCAGAAATCAATATGCATATATTAAGTGTATAAAAAGTTTCTAATCTAACAAAATAGTTAACACGATCCCAACAAGAGTTTTTTTTTTGTTTGTAATATTTACTTAAGACATAATAATAAGTAAAAAAAGTTAATATGTACTTAAGAGTTTAAAAGAAGGTTTGTAGTAAATAACTTTTTTTTTTTAGAAAATGGCGACATTACCAAAAAAATGTCGACAGATTCACGAAACGATTTCGACATAACGGGATACTCAATGCATCACCACACCATCTACCACGCGAGCTCCTTATTCCTTTTTTTTTTTCTAATGTCTCCTAACAAACATGTGATCTCAACCGCACGCGCCGCTTCCCTATATATAACCGCGCTAATTCTTGTTTCCCTTCCACTCAACGCGATATACTTAAATTAAGTCTTCGGTTTTTCTTTCTTTCTTTAGTTTCTCTGTCGGAGATTTATTTAAAAGCCATAATTATATAATGGGATCCCTCTCGGCGTTTGAGGAGCGTCTGCAGTATCCGAGGGCAAGGCGGGATGAGTCCATCGTTGAAGATTATCACGGCGTTAGAATCGCCGATCCTTACCGTTGGTAAAAACGTTTGCGTTAACGTTTTCAGCTGTAATTTTTTATGATCACGTTATTGAGTTGACTATTTTATTCTTCTTACCGGAGCTTTTAAATTTCCTGCTGTTCTGTCCGAAAGTTGATTTGAGTTCTTATAATAAAATGATTTTAATACTTAAATCATGACCAATCGTGTTTCGAGGTTATTTAGGACCAGCTATATTTATATTTTGGCCCATTTTAGATATTTACTAGACCAATTATTTTGGAAACTTGGCCCATTTCTGGACCACTTTTGTTTGTTTGTTTGTGATTTGGAACAGAACCGTGTACTTGTCTGAACCAATTGCAAAATTGTTTCGGTTAAGGTTCGTTATTTTTTTTCTGTTAGGTTGGAAGATCCTGAAGCAGAGGAAGTGAAAGACTTTATAGAGAAGCAAGTGAACTTATCTAATTCAGTGTTGAAAACTTGTGACACAAGGGAAAAGCTTCATGAGAAAATTACAAAGCTCATTGATCATGCTCGTTACGATACTCCCTTCAAGCGAGGAAACAGTTACTTTTATTTCCATAACACAGGTCTTCAAGCTCAGAGTGTGCTTTATATCCAGGTAACTTCAAAGTACAGAATCATATTTTTTTTACTTTTCTTTAATCTTTTGAATAAGTTTTTTGATTATAGAGTTGGGGTTTTTTTTTCTTTTCAGGATGATTTGGATTCTGAAGCAGAGGTTTTGCTTGACCCCAATACACTTAGTGATGATGGAACAGTGTCTTTAAACTCTTTAGCTATCAGTGAGGATGGTAAGTATATGGCTTATGGGCTTTGCTCAAGTGGTAGTGATTGGGTAACTATTAAAGTTATGAAGATTGAAGATAAGACAGTGGAGCCTGATACTTTATCTTGGGTAAGGGTTTCTTCACCTTAAACTGTACTACTACTCCTCTCAATCAGTATTCCATTTTGACATGAGTCTGTCTCTGTTGATTTTTAGGTTAAGTTTAGTGGAATAACATGGACACATGATGGTCTAGGGTTTTTCTACAGTCGCTACCCAGCTCCACAGTGAGTTTTGTGTGTATAGCTATGAATCCTTTTGTCACATTAGGGTTTTTATGACTTTATCTTATTGTGGTTTGTTTCTGTAGAGAGGGAGAGAAGATAGATGCTGGCACAGAGACTAATTCTAACCTATACCATGAGTTGTACTACCATTTCCTAGGGACTAATCAATCTGAAGATGTTTTATGTTGGAGAGACCAAGACAATCCCAAACATATGTTTGGTTCTAAAGTCACTAATGATGGAAAGGTAAAAAAACCAGCCATTTCTCATCTCTCTTGCTTGCTTCACTTAAAAGTTAGGGTGTGACAATTATGTTTTTTTCTTAATGCAGTACTTAATCATGACCATTGAAGAAGGGTGTGACCCTGTAAACAAAGTTTACCATTGTGATCTCTCATCACTTCCCAAAAGTCTAGAAAGTTATAAAGGAAGCAAATCTCTACTTCCATTTATCAAACTCATCGACACATTTGAGGCACAATACATTGCCATAGCAAACGACGAGACATTGTTTACTTTCTTTACAAACAAAGATGCTCCAAAGTACAAGTTAGTTCGTGTTGATCTGAAGGAACCGAGTACTTGGACTGATGTTATACCTGAACACGAGAAAGATGTTCTCTCAACAGCGTGTGTAGTCAATGGAAACCAGCTTGTGGTTAGCTACATGAGCGATGTAAAACACATCCTGCAGATTAGAGACTTGGAGTCTGGATCCTTGCTGCACACGTTACCTGTAGATATTGGTTCAGTAGGTGGAGTTTTTGCTCGGCGTAAAGACACAACCTTCTTCTTTAGGTTTACAAGCTTCCTTACTCCTGGTGTGATTTACAAATGTGACTTATCTAATGAATCTCCACAAGTTACTGTCTTCCGTGAAATTGATGTGCCTGGATTCGATAGAACAGCATTTCAAGTCACTCAGGTAATGTGTGTACAATCTTTGAATTTGCGGTTATAACCGAAACAATTTTCTTAAAATCCTATTTATGAGACTCATACCGGTTTAAACCATTCTAGACAGTTTAAATAGGTATAAATTAGTTTAAATCTGTTAAAATTAACAATAATATTTAAAAGAAAAAAATACAAATTTGTTTAATTTCTTTTGTTTTGTATATCTAATTTTTATATTTTTTCTTAAAAATCCGATTTATGTGACTCATACCGGTTTAAACCATTCTAAATCGGTTAAAATAAGTATAAATTAATTGAAAATCTATTAAATTAAACAATAATATTAATAAGAATCTACAGATTTGTTTATTTTTTTTTTTGTTTTGTATAATCTAGTTTTTATAATTTGTATCCATAACTATATTACAATGTTTTTATAGGTATTTTATCCGAGTAAGGATGGAACAAAGATACCAATGTTCATAGTGGCTAGAAAAGATATAGAGCTAGATGGATCACACCCTTGTTTGCTCTATGCATATGGTGGGTTTAGCGCAAGCATGACGCCGTTTTTCAGTGCAACTCGTGTTGTGCTTAGTAGACATCTTGGTGCTGTGTTCTGTTTTGCAAACATCCGTGGTGGTGGTGAGTATGGTGAGGAGTGGCATAAAGCTGGTGCGCTTGCAAATAAGCAGAACTGCTTCGATGATTTCATTGCTGGAGCAGAGTATCTTGTTTCTGCTGGTTATACACAACCGAGGAAGCTTTGTATTGAAGGTAGTAGTAACGGTGGGATACTAATTGGGACTTGCATTAATCAGGTAAAGACTCTTTAAAACTCTATCTCATGTGGAAAAGTAGTAGTCAGATAGTTATATAAAGAGTTTTTCTTACTGTGACATAGAGACCGGATCTGTTTGGGTGTGCTTTGGCTCATGTTGGGGTCATGGACATGCTTCGGTTTCATAAGTTTACTATAGGGCATGCTTGGACTTCTGAGTTTGGTTGTTCTGACAAGGAAGAGGAGTTTCATTGGTTGATTAAGTAAGTGTTTTTTTTTAGGTCAAACATAAAGCTTCCTTGTTTTGTAAGATATCTGATGGTTTTGGTATTTGATAAAAAATATAAAAAAGGTATTCGCCTCTGCATAATGTGAAGAGGCCATGGGAACAGAAGACGGATAAGTTTGTACAGTACCCATCAACAATGTTGTTAACTGCTGATCATGACGATAGAGTAGTCCCACTTCATACATTCAAGTTGCTTGCGGTTTGTCTTTTGTTTCTTGTTTGCTTTTTGCATCTCTTCTTCTTATTCGTCTTCCATTGAAACCTGTTTTGGTTTGGCAGACAATGCAATATGAATTAGGTTTGAGTTTAGAGAATAGTCCACAGACGAACCCTATAATTGCTCGTATTGAAGTTAAAGCCGGGCATGGAGCAGGGCGTCCAACACAAAAGATTGTGAGTAAATCAGTTTAAATTTTTCTTGTTCAATGTATATGCTTGAGGAAGTGTGAGTGGAAGAGTGATGTTTGTGAGTTGCAACAGATTGACGAAGCGGCTGATCGGTATGGGTTAATGGCGAAGATGGTGGATGCTACATGGCTTGACTGAAATTGACATGGAAGAGATTAGTTTCTTGTTATATCCTGAGAGGGAGAGATAGCTACTGCTTACTGTAATATTTTGTTAACCTACAGAGATATTATTACAGTTATATACTACATGTGACGCGTTTTAAAATCTAACTGAATCACTGAAAGAATCCACGTTATAGTTTTAAGTAATTCTATAATTTAAAAGTTAAAAATACAATAGAACTAATAAGTTATAGGAAATGAATGTATATAGGAATCAAAACTACAGAAATGAGAGCTTGTGGATTTGGTCGTACTTGGCAGCACTTCAAGAATCGCCCATCTTGACATCAGTCACATCAAGTTGTATTATCTCCGCCCTGCATCCTAAAATTGATCCCATGCTGTAACCAAAGTGAAACAAATAAGGTTAATATGATTCCAATGCTTCTTGTTACCATTCTTCTTTATTCTTATATAACGGGAGTTCATACCTTGGAGTAGTACGACCAAGATCCCCATGAACAAACTCTTTGATGTATGTTCCAGCCTACATTTAAATGAAAGTTTTAAATTTGCCCATTTTTTTTTTATAAATTATGATAAAAACTATAATGAGGTGAGTTAGAAGATGTTGAAACCTGGGTGCACAGATGCAGTAGAAAGTAGTGAGAGCTTCCTTTAATCTTTTCTACTTTCATCCTGAGGATAGGAACCACAAAGACTTGACTCTTTATACTAAACAGAAAAAGCTTCACGGTAATTAAAATACAAATTCAAGATAGATCGCCACTAACCAGTGTATAGTCCTTTCACGTTCCAATGGACTTCGACGGTGAAGCACTCTTACCGGCGTCTTCTGCAAGATTTTCTGCAGTGACATAATACAGAAGAAAGCAATTACTTTGCATCGGGAACCAAGAATGGTGTTTGAGGAGAGACATGTGACCTTTCATGGAGATCAAAAATAAACCAAATGACTCACCAATTCTTTCATGGAAGAGACTGAGTTGATATCTTTCTCTTCAAGTGGACGAGAAGTCCATACAAGTGCAGCATATTGCTTCTGCAATATACCAAAAACATCCGAGTAGTTGGTTCAATAGTTTTATGACACTTCTAACTAGACCATTAATTGAGTTAAGGTAACAATATTTCGATAGTATTTAGCAGAACTGACCTGTTTCTCTGCTTCTCCTTCACGCATCATTGCCCAACACTGACTTCCTATGAATTTAAGGTCTTTAACTCCAACCTGCAGCCAAAATACTGTTTGTAAGCTTGCAAACAAACACACATAATCAAGTGATACAACATAAGTGTTCAATTGATTAGGCATTACTAGTTTTTTCTCTGAGTTGTTAATCTTCTCTTCAATTTCCGTCAATGATTGCTGAGATGGGCATTTGCGGGAATTCTGAACCTCGATTAAGAAAGGTCTACCTGAACCCAACATGCGTACCTGAATAAAGCTCTTTCATATTATCAGCATAAACTTGTTTAATTTGAACATGAAATTCGGGAAAAGGGAAATAGTCTAACATCAATATCTTCTCTGCCAGCAGCATGGAACTTGTAGGAATCCCCAAGGCATGCTGGAAGAATATTTCCACCAATTATTTCCTGGAAAAAAAAAAGAATGTAACAATCTCTTAAGTCTTATCTTTAAGAGTAAATGTAATGTATACATATCCAAATAACTACAAAATGCACTACCTCAACAGACGCTTCACCCATTCTTTCATCATCAATAATCCATCGTGTTTGACTTACATTTCTGGAGTACTGCAAAGACAAGATTGAACCATCAATTCAAATTTCCAACAAGAAGTATACTATCTGCTTGGTCATCTGTGAATTCCTTTGCTACCGAGCTACAAGTTGCACACAAATGAATGGCTAGGTCACAATAGACTGTCTCAAGAACATGAAAACATTGACTTACTTTAAAGTACCTCCCACTAAAAAAGATAGGCATCTTGTTGCAATGAAGTGACAAGATGCATGGTTCATAAACCTGGGAAGAAGCAGACAAAAAAGCAGCGACCATGAGTTTTTGTAAGCCAAATAATGACAATGTGGACCAAAAAGCTCTACTCGATATAAATCTAGGGTCAAACATGTAAACCATTACCTTTTCAAATGAATTCTGGGACATACAGGTTAACCCATTCTCCTCGTCTGCATAAACATCACCAACACATGAGTTACACATAATACATAGCACTTTAAAATTTTGAAATTTATTGAGACATCTGTATATAAACTACGGACTGGTGTAGCCGTAGGTGGCCACAAGGTCCAACAAGTGTATAAACCGTTATAAGAAGACAAGGAGCAGGCGATGCTAGAGAAGGTCAAAGAAATAAGTATATATGAGGCATATGCAAAGACAATAAGGTAGCGCAGATAAAGAGGTCAGCATAAAGAGAAATCAACTCCCCAGACATTAAAGAAAACTGAAAGATGTCTTTCGACATAATCATAGAAGAGTTTCATACATGAATGAAACTCAACTTTACTTTCATCAATAAACTCCTTAAGCATCACAAGTATGGTTGATATTTTAAGTAATATTGTACCCACTTACTATCAGTCAATTGTCGTAGATGACTTTATGAGCAGTTCAAAAAAAAATGCGTCAACCAAATAATAGATGATTGATACTTTTGTAGAGTCTCAAACATACCTGTTTTCCTCTTCTTTCTTTCATGCGTTGTTTCAGACGCACCTTGAGCCTCATCTGATGCCTTAGAGTAAGTCAAACGGATGTGGAAAGAGCTCGTGTCTGACTTAGCTCCCTGCAAAACTCAAAACAAGAACGAATAACAAAAGACTTCAATCTCTAAGCTTTTGTTACCTTGCCACTTATTTGGCAATTTACAATATTACGTTCTATAAAACACCAAACAATAAAAACATAGGTGAAAGTCAACAATTATACAAAAAAAAACAGAACACAGGCTCCTCACCAACAATGCTTGAAGTGGATCCAAGAGTAGAACTTTCAAAGCATCCTTCACAGAAATCTTTTCGCCCTCCACCCAACCTTCACTCTTATACTTTCCTTTAAGGTATAACCTACATTAAAACATCAACACATGAGAAATAACAAAAAAGAGATATACTCCCTCTGTTCCTAAAAGATAGACTTTCTAGTGTTTTCACACATATTAAGAAAACAAATTAAATCACTATCGTTTGCAGTAATTTTCAATTTTCAACAACTTTTAGCCAATAGTAATCTAATAAAACCAATTAATTTTTTTGAAACTTGTAATTTTCTCACAGAAAACATAAAATATACATTTTTTTGAAACAAAATATTTTTCCAGAAGATGAATCTTATAGGAACCGAGGGAGTACTTTCTAGGACCTAATAACATAAAAAAAAAAAAAAAGCTTACAAGACCGCACGCTCATTGTCCACGAGAATTGATGGAACAGAGACTTCTAAACCAAAGCTATCGAACTCATGACCTTCCTGCTTCACCAACTCCGCTACCTTTGCAGCGTAGTCACTAACACAATCCGTTTGTTTGCCATCGGAGAAAACGAGCTGCAATATACCTAAACAGACAATGCAGATCCTGGAACCAGCTTCCTCATCGCCTGATTCAAGCCAGCTTCGTAGAGTTGACGTCGAGACTGATGATAAATCGGAATCAAAAGACTCCACGGATACCAATCGGAAAATACATCTCTCGCATACCTAACAGATCACAGCAACAGCCGAATTAATTTAACCTAAATGAGAGAGAGGAAGATAAAAAAAAAAAGGATAACAGACCCCAAGAGAGAGGAGATCTTTGACAGCATCGGAATGAACGCGTCCTGACTTGTGGCTTACGAGGCCTCCGTTGGATAAACCGGCTGAGTCGCCGGATGAGGGTTTTGTTTCGTCGGCCATTTGTACTTCTTCGAAATTATCCGACAAGAATGCGGCTTCTAAATTCTGATTAGGTTTACTGGACCCCGCATTTTTAATTTATTCATTTTTATTTTATTCATAAAAATTTTTATTGGCGCACATTTTAAGAAACTTGAGACCATGGTTAACTGTAGCCTCTTAATTGGTTTCTTAAGCTAAGAGAAGGTTTTTAGTTTTCCTTTGATTTTAAGTAAAAAAAAAAGTTCAAAACTGTTTTTTATTGGGAAAAGTCAAATTATAAATTAAGAACTTTGGATTAGAGATCGGTTTAATCATTCACTAAAAACATGTTTATTGAAAGTTCTTAAATTAAAATTCTTATATATTTAGCATCAGTTTTGAAACGGTTGCAAAAGTTGGTAGTTCTTCGTTTTTGTTAATTAAAAAAAATGTATTTTAACCGAATCTAAGAATTTTGCGTATGAGCAGCCACAAACATGGCCTAAATAAAGGCTTTCAATGATAAACTTGCAGGGTAAATGCGGAACAAGTGCAGTTCTAATAGTAACAAAAATAATAGACATAGATATATGTATAAAATTTTGTTATTATTCTGTTCATCACCATTTGAAACCTTATTACTCCCATTCGTTTTAAGGATGTTTCTATGTAATGTAACACTCATTGCATGAGGAATCAGATAAGCAAAGAGCTTTTCATCTACTGTGAATGTGTCTGCATGACAGTTTTAGATAACAATAATGGAAATAAAGATCTTCCCTGTTTAGAATCAGTGTGGAATGATCACAGTTTCAATATATAAAACAAAGAACCTGGAAGCAAAAGAAAGTATGCTATACTTGCCGAAATTAAACAAAGAACAAAAAAAACTTGGTAAGAGATCAAAAGAGCGTGTGACTGATTGATTAAATACAGTTTCAATACAGCTAAACAAGCTTCAATCTGTAACATAAAGTCAAATCCGAAAAAATCAAATAGTCTCGGAAGCAGAAAAGGTATGCTAGGTAGTAACTGGTAAAAGATCAAAAGAGAGATTCTTGAAATCAAACGTGTGAGTAATTGATTGATTAACCATTCCTAGGTAGAACAGCATCCTTTTCTGTTAGCCACAGACGAATCCGTTATGTTAATCGCAGTACCTTGTCCCGGAACCTGAAGATTACCCGCAGCTTCTTGTGCAGCTAAAGCCTTCTTACTTATGATATGATAAATCTCAGATAAAATAGTCTGAAACGCTTTCTCAATATTACTCGCTTCCAAAGCAGACGTTTCCAAAAACGACAAACCTTCTTTCTCAGCTAGAGATCGTCCATCTTCATCAGCAACAGATCTCAAATGATTTAAATCTGATTTGTTACCAGCCATCATAATCACAATGTTGGAATCAGCATGATCCCTAAGCTCACGTAACCATCTCAGAACATTCTCAAACGTTTGTCTCTTTGTAATGTCGTAGACGAGAAGAGCACCAACAGCTCCTCTGTAATAAGCGCTAGTGATGGCTCTGTAACGCTCTTGTCCTGCTGTGTCCCAAATCTGAGCCTTCACTGTTTTGCCTTCAACCTTAAAAAAAAAACAGATACATAAAAACATGAAACAAGACAGATCTCGAAAGATCTAAAGACTAGACACGATTTGATGATCATTACCTGTAGAGTTCTGGTGGCGAATTCAACGCCGATGGTGGATTTGGATTCGAGGCAGAACTCGTTTCTGGTGAATCTGGAGAGGATGTTGGATTTGCCAACGCCGGAGTCGCCGATGAGGACGATCTTGAACAAGTAATCGTACTCATTGTCTAGTCGATTCGCCATTGCACTCCTCTAGCGTCCGATTAACCTAAGCATGCACATATACATTTACGTCAAACAATCGAGAATGGAGGTTAAACGAATCAAATGAAGAAATAATTTTACCTTTTAAGAGCAGGTTTGAAGGATCAATAATGGAAATGTTTTTTTTTTTCTTTTTCTCTTTCTGTTTCCTCTCGTCTCTCCTCTTCCCTATACGCTGCGGTGAAAACGGAAGCACACATTTTTTTAGAATTTTTTTTAATTTTTGTTTAACCACTAAATTAAAAAATGTCATTAGTTTGAATGTTGTTGTTGTTTGAGATCTTTTTCAAATATAAATTTTTTTTTTTGTCACGACGAATCTTAATACGAATCGACGAAAGTCAAGTTGCGAGTATCAATCCAGTGTGACACACACGTGTTGACATAAGAGAACGTGTTGACATAAGAGAAAACACGCTTCCTTGTTCAAGCTTATCTTGCCAAGAAGTCTGTTTGGACGTTACTGGATCTGTCATTATAGACTGCTTGTCCATCATAAATCTATGTCTACATTTTTCTTGAATACTATATGGGACATATTCAATTTTAACTACAACTAGATTTTGACCCGCGCTTGAAAGCGCGGAAATTTTTTTATGATTAAAAATTTATATAATTGGATTTTGTTTTTATTTAAAGTATGTTTTGGTATAAAGTCAGCAATCCAAAATTTGTGGTGGTAATCGTTTTGCATTAGTTTTTATTTTTAGATTTGGTTTTAGATTTTGGTTTTTGGTTTTTAGTTTTTAAGTTTCTGTTTTTGATTTTCAGCTTTGGGTTTGGAAGCGTGGAAATTTTTTATGATTAAAAATTTATATAATTGGGTTTTGTTTTTATTTAAAGTATGTTTTGATATAAAATCAGCAATCCAAAATTTGTGGTGGTAATCGTTTTGCATTAGTTTTTATTTTTAGATTTGGTTTTAGATTTTGGTTTTTAAGTTATATTTTTGATTTTCAGCTTTTGGTTTGGGTTTTTAGTTTTTAGATCCGCTGAGTTAGTTTGAACTAATATTAATAACAAACAAATCCTAAATAATCGAACATCTAATTTAAACTGAAAAAGAAGACAACTTTAGAGAAAAAAATTACAATAGTTTATTTTGTAAATTAACAAAAGAAAAAATATAACATGCGTTCAGCTTTTGGTTTCGAATTTTAGTTTTTAGATATGATTTTTGGTTTTGCTTTACATTTAATTTTTTTAAAAATCAGTAAATTATTTAAGAAAAAGAAAATAGTAAACTATTTAAAAGTTGCCATTGAAATTTATCAAAACAAAACAATTGTTATTTAAAATAAAAAATAAATTAACATGCTTTAAAGTACATTATTTAAATAAATGATTAATAATAGGCGATTTTGTTTTGTTTAAAAATATTAAATACTTTTTGGGCTTGAAAATAATAACTGATTTTTTATCCATTAAGCTGAAAAATTTATTCAATGTTTTTTGGAGTTTTTCCTTAATACTAAGCCCAAAAACCAAACTATATAATTTGTTATAAAAACAAAAGTAATCCCAAGACTATATTCCATAAATAATCATCGGTTTAATTTAAGTAGTGCGGTTCAATTAACTATATGACATATATTATTTGTAACACTCTATAAAGGGTCCAAATTTAAATGATAACTTGTATCAGTAGATAAAAAGAATGACTCTATTTTAATAGAGTAGATAGTTAATGTATAGTATAATAATCTAAATTTTGTTGGTTGTTTTAATCTGCTATTCTGGTACCACCTCTAATTTAATTAATAATCTATAGTTTTAGTAATATGATAACATTTTTTTCTTCTAAGAAAAAAGTTACATATAATATAAACATTCAATATATTGTGCAATGACTAAAATCACTAAATATAATTTTCTGTCATATGTAGCTGAGTATTCAATATCCATGTACATTTTTAGTTTAAAAAGGAAAATATTTAATAATTATGGAATACTAAGATTTTATTTCTGTAAACAAAAAAAAATAAAAACAACAATATTATTAATTTTATTAAATTTACTGTATATATTCTCTTTCTTTTTTGAATGCATCATAGAGTAATGTAATGGGCTTTTGTCAATCAGCATAATAGGTTACTGAGCTAATGAGAGATGTGGGCTCAACAAACACATGTTATTAAAAGCTGATTAAAGCTAAGGTAATCTCTTTACGGCCCAAAACTTTATTAAAGTCAATAATGAGGAGCTAGCACAAGTAATGATGTAAATTCAGCAACACAACAATTCCATGTCTTTGCTTCTACTCTCAGACTACTTACTTTTTTCCCGCACCAAATACTTTTCTTCTTCCACTCTCTCTCTTTCTCTCCCGTTGTTTGATCAGGTCAGATATTAGTTTCTCTTCAGTGGTGCTTCCTTATAACGATTTTTTGCATGTAAATAGTCGATCATGTCAGATAGGTTATCGTCAACTTTCTGTATTTTTCTGTAGCAATTCAATTGACTTTCTCAGAATTGTTTTCTCGATTTCGTGTGTATGTGATCGTTTTTCCCGTGATGATTCTCTCTAGTCTGTGATTTGGATTTTCCGGTTTAGTGTCCTGAGTGAAACTATTTTGTTCGCCTTCTATTTTGAGCATTGGAATTTCAAATTGATAGCCATGTGCTTGTTTGGGCCCTACAGCTATATACTTATCTATTTTTCAGCTTACAATATGTTTTGTTACTAGAAGATGAACCATTTGAAGTTACAATCTGTTATTAATGCTAATAATTGTGTTTTGTAATGAAATTAGAAGGTAATGCCAAGTACTTAACCATGATGAAGCGACTATGGACTAGTTTCTTCTTTATAACGACACTGCTTTTGCTGCGAGTTTACTCTCACTCGGAGTATATGATTGGACTTGGAAGCTATGACATTACTGGCCCTGCTGCAGATGTTAACATGATGGGTTATGCTAACATGGAGCAAGTCGCTTCTGGTATTCACTTCAGGCTCCGTGCTCGGACTTTCATTGTCTCTGAGCCTGAAGGGAAGCGTGTTGTGTTTGTTAACATTGACGCTTGCATGGCTTCACAAATTGTTACATTAAAAGTGATTGAGAGGCTCAAGGCAAGGTAATTTTTTTTTTGCATAGGTTTGATTTATTAGCCTTAGTTTCTTATTACATCTTTTTGTAGGTGGATTAATGATAGTGTGTTTTTGTAGATATGGAGACTTGTATACTGAAAAGAATGTTGGTATCAGTGGTATTCACACACATGCTGGTCCAGGGGGTTATCTTCAGTATGTTGTGTATATTGTAACATCACTTGGCTTTGTTCGTCAGTCATTTGATGCCCTTGTTGATGGGATTGAGAAAAGTATCATACAAGCTCATGACAACCTTCGTCCTGGTTCAGTTATTATCAATAAAGGTAAGGATTGATGATTCAATTTTTATTCTATCGTTGCCTGGATACTGGTGAACTTAGCCTTATCTTGTAGGTGAACTTTTGGATACTGGTGTAAACCGCAGTCCAAGTGCATATCTTTATAATCCTTCAGAAGAGAGGAATAAGTACAAGTATAATGTTGATAAAGAAATGACTCTTTTGAAGTTTATGGATGATCAATGGGGTCCAGTAGGTAGTTTCAACTGGTTTGCTACTCATGGAACTTCCATGAGTCGTACAAACTCTTTGATCAGTGGAGACAACAAGGGCGCTGCATCAAGATTTATGGAGGATTGGTTTGAACAGAATACTGCTGAAAGTTCCTACTCTGAAGAGTTTATTTCAGATGTGATACCTAGAAGAGTTTCAAGCATGATCGAGAATCCTCTGGACAGCCGTAAGTTTACAACGTCTTTATAACAACTGCACATTGTGTGTCTAAAGATGGAACAAGGGAAAATATTCAATTTGTTTGGTCCTGATGCAGACGAGGAGTTACTAGAGCTTGCATCTTACTTTGAGGCACAACCTGGTAGGCCTGTAACTAGAATTTCAAGTTCTGCAAGGCGGGTGAGGAGTGCTCTGAGGAAGGCGGACAGGCCTGGCTTTGTTTCTGCTTTCTGTCAAACAAACTGTGGTGATGTTAGCCCAAATGTGCTTGGAGCCTTTTGCCTAGACACTGGTCTTCCTTGTGACTTCAATCACAGTACATGTGGTGGGAGAAATGAGCTTTGTTATGGACGTGGACCAGGGTATTCACCTGTCTTTTTTGCTGTCGTCTTATAAGATTGGATAGCACAAATAATTGAGATAAAATCTCTTGACCTGTGTTGATTTATCTACTGCAGCTATCCTGATGAATTTGAGAGTACACGTATAATTGGTGAGAGACAGTTCAAGAAGGCTTTGGATCTTTTCAACAAAGCATCTGAGCAGCTACGAGGGAAAGTTGATTACCGACAGGTTTACGTTGACTTTTCACAGCTTAATGTGACACTTCTTAAAAAAGATGGAAATTCTGAAAATGTAAAAACATGTCCTGCGGCAATGGGCTTTGCTTTTGCTGCTGGAACCACAGATGGACCAGGGGCATTTGATTTTACACAAGGAGATGATAAGGTATCCTGTCTAAGTCATGAATAGATCATCCAGTTAGTAGTTATTGTTTTCATTTCTCAAGGCTACCATTTACGTTTATCAGGGTAACGCATTCTGGAGGATGGTGAGAAACGTTCTTAAACCACCTCACAAGAAACAAATGGATTGTCACTACCCAAAACCCATCTTACTTGACACTGGAGAAATGACAAAGCCATATGATTGGGCTGTAAGTTGTTTAGAATTGTGAGCTTCCATGAGTCTTGTTTACTATTTTAAGACTAACTTTTTCCATGGGTTTCAGCCGTCAGTTCTTTCATTGCAAATGCTACGTATTGGACAACTTTTCATTCTCAGCGTCCCGGGAGGTAGTGGAGAATCTGCAGATTTCAAAATCATGACTTATAATGTGATGTTGAATATTTTACTCCTGTCTATCTTTCTTTTCAGAATTCACAACTATGGCTGGAAGGCGACTCCGCGATGCAGTCAAGAAACAGCTTAAAAGCAGTGGTAATAAAGAATTGAGCGGTGAGATTCACGTCGTGATAGCTGGATTGGCCAATGGTTACTCACAATATGTAACCACCTTTGAGGAATACCAAGCGCAAAGATACGAGGTAAAAGCTTCTTAGATTGTCAGACTTACCCTTTGGAACAAACAGCTCCTTGTTCCTCTTACTCTGTATCTGATGCAGTGGTTGCATGCATTTGTTAGGGCGCATCTACATTATTTGGTCCGCACACCCTCAGTGGCTACATTCAAGAGTTCAAGAAGCTCTCCAAATCTCTCTTCCACGATAGGCCTGTTCAACCGGGGCCTCAACCACCGGATCTCCTAGACAAGCAAGTGAGCTTCCTCACGCCTGTGGTGATGGACACAACTCCTGCCGGAGACAGTTTCGGAGATGTAATCTCGGATGTTCCCAAAAACTTGTCCTTGAAGAGAGGAAATGACCTGGTGACTGTTGTATTCCAGTCAGCTTGTCCTAGAAACGATTTACAGACAGAAGGTACCCTCACAGCAAATGTTTATTGCTTCATTTATCAGCTCATGCTTATGTCTGCTCCTTGGTCATAGATAATTTCAAAATGAGTGACTTGGTCATTTTTAATGGTAACATGAGATACTATGTTTATGGCAGGTACGTTTGCTCTGGTGGAGAGATTAGAGCGGGTGGACAAGACTTGGATCCCAGTTTATGACGACGATGACCTATGTCTGAGGTTCAAGTGGTCGAGGCCTAAGAAGTTGAGCCCCCTGAGTGAAGCCACAGTCGAATGGAGAATTCCCGAGTCTGCATCACCAGGGGTTTACAGGATCACCCATTTTGGTGCTGCAAAGAGTCTCTTTGGGTCAGTTCAGCATTTCACAGGCTCTTCTAGTGCTTTCGTTGTAACATAAACATGTTGAAACTAATGTAGATAAAATAAAGTTGTATTGTAAAATAGGCCTACATGAATGCACTGATGTTGAGAAGTATAGAAAATAGTGTTGTTATGTATACTGATGTTGATAAGATTAGTGGAATCAAATACAGTTTTTCTTGTAGTACTGAACATGTTTTATCTTGTTGCGTTAGTGAATTGAAGTTAGTTAGTTGATGAGTCATTAGAGTCGCAATAACTTTGCCAAACATTGGTATCATGAAGCATCTTAATAAGTCTAAGAAAAAACAACTGATTCTAGAGGGTGCATACAACGGAAACACACAATGACAGCATCAAGAAATCTTGGACATTACAGGACAAACGGGTATTAGGCCTTGTCTTCCTCTTCTTCTTCAATCTTAGGAGCCAAGTAGTAACGAATGTAACCCATCTCAGCTACCTTATACTCCACCACCACTGGCAGCTCCGAGGATAGGCTGATTGTTACTGTGTCCGACAAAGGGGTTGCCTTTGTGAAGGAATTCATGTACCTCAGGGCAAATGAGAGTGACACTGGCTCGTTCATCTCTATCACAATTGCATCTTCCGGCTGCAAACACACCTCAATTCAGCAACTTTCTCCACTGAATCAGCATAAAAATGTAAAAATCTTAGGCATACCTTGTCAACAGTTGTGTTCTGTCTTAACACAATGTTAGCTGTCCCAATGTCACCAGCAGTAGAAAACTTAACCCCTTCTTTAGTCACAGAGATCACAACTGAAACCATAACATTATCAAGCATGTATATTAGCCTCTTTAGTCTACTCAAAAGACCAACTCAGAATAAAAACAGAAGCAATGAGTGTATGTATACCAGTGTCACCAATGGTACTGAGATCTTTGCAAATCCTTGAGAACTCACTAGACGGCATCCTCACAATGGAATGATACTCAGCATCAGGTATCCCCAAATGCTCACTGTCTATATCCATCAGCTTCATCTCAAAATCTGCAATCTTGTCTTGATCTGCAAATCACACCACACACATGTATCAAGACAAGAACACAAGTAAACATCTTGCCTCAAAATAACTACTTGAAACTACAAACCCTAATGCTTATATATGAAATCATACCACACAAGTAAACATCTTGCTTTCACTGGTAATGAATGTTCTTTTTCCTCAAAATAACTACTTGAAACTACAAGTATCAAGACAAGAACACAGAACATGACACAAGCAAACATCTTACAACTACTTCTAACTAAAATATAAAGTTACAAACTTTAATGCTTATCTACCAAACTTGTCACCATTAAACTTACTGGGACTCTCGAACATGAAGGTGACGGTGTCACCACCGTCATCAGCTTTGATGGTGATGATGTCATCGTTTCCAGCACACTTGAGCATCTTCGACATGTTGCCGAGATTCATCCCCATGGAGAGGTTCCTGTCGCACCTGTAGTGCTCGAAGCCTTCGGATCGGAGGAGGAGAGAGACGAGCGCCACGTGGCTGGAGTCCATGGCTTGGAGGGAGAAGCCTGTGCTGGAGCAGTCGAAGTTGGCATCGTTGACGAGATCCTTGACGGATTCAAGAACCTTCTTCAAGAGAGAGCCCTGAACGAGACGTAGCTCCAACATTTTCTTCTAGGGTTTATGGAAAGAGAGCGTTGATTCAGTTCAGGAGGGAGTGGTTTTTTTTATAAGCTTTTTCTTTTCTGGCGGGAAATTCTGATTGTAAGACATTCACTTCCCGCCAATTGTGAAAACTGGGTTTGATTTGTAATTATAAAAACAAAAAGGTTAATTTCGCATTATTGGTGAGAGTTTGGGGTTTATTTTGAAATACTTCCTTATTTGGGCCGTTATGAGACTTAAAAAGGCTTATAAAGATGGGCCGGACATGAGAATGGAATATGTGATGGAGTTTAACAAACTCCTTTCGCGTCCGACTCTCTCCCGAAGCTTCTTCTGATTCGTCCTTTATATAACACATCTTCCCCGTCGAAAACGGAAGCGTGAAATTCATTCATATTCCTCCCGTCAGGTGCAGAGAGTTTCTCGAACATTCATCCTTTCTTTTGTTGAGCTTTCTGCGTTACTACGATGTGAGTATTCTGTTTTCGAAGTTGTAATTTGTTTTTACTATACGGTGCCGTTTCAGTGACGTGGACGATCCTCTTTAGCCTTTAGGTGTTGCTAGATCTGATTGTTCTGGAATCTGGATGTAGTAAGTAGCTTGAATTCTAGATCGTTAGGTTAGTTAGATAGATGTAAAATCATTTAACATGTTACAGAGTTTGATGAATGGTCTCAAACTTGATTTTGTGGAGTTATGTTTAAGAACTTCGGGGAGATTATAGCTTTAATAAATAAAAAACTGAGGAGGATTATGTAATTATTATCTGGATTATCCATGTAGATTAACAATCTGTTTTATTTTGCTAGTCTTTGCTATTAATCAAATATATTACTCTATTCAAGCATGTTGATGTTAATATAGAGACTGGATCTTTTAATTTTAATTATCTTTTCCTTTGTAGATGTCTTACTCAAGGAGGTCAAGATACTCTCCCTCACTATCCCCTTACGACAAGCGTCGTGGGAGGTCTGTGTCAAGGTCTCTCTCTAGAAGCCGCTCCAGGTAGTTTAAACTTTCTTGTATGATTATGTGTTTTCTCTTTTTTTGCTGCTTTTTTTATGTACTCGTGTTCTCAACCGCTTTGTATTATATTAGGAGTGTCTCAAGCGATGCAGAGAATCCTGGTAACAGTTTATATGTGACTGGGTTGTCTCACCGGGTTACGGAACGAGATCTGGAGGATCATTTCTCTAAAGAAGGAAAGGTATGTTTGATTCACTAGTGCGTTGAAGAGCTTTCAGAGGAGAGATTTGTTTGTTAACCCTTGTGAGGTTTGGTTGTTTGTAGGTAACTGATGTTCACCTTGTCCTTGATCCATGGACTAGAGAGCCTCGTGGTTTTGGTTTTATCTCCATGGAGACTGTTGGTGATGCTAATCGCTGCATCAGACATCTTGATCACTCTGTTCTTATGGGCCGCGTCATTACAGTTGAGAAGGTAAAACAACAACACTTTAATGAAGAGTCTTTTCTGATAGAATCAGAAATATGTTTGATCTGTCCAAAGCTGATATATGCAAGTAATGGGCAATATGATGATGATTATTTTTTTCCAATTTTCTGTTGTAAGTATATAAGTTGTTTGCTTGTTTCCACTTTCAAGTTTCTGTGGCAGCAGGTCTGCTGTTTGTAGCAGCAGCGCTTCACCAAATAGCAATCGTTGCAACAGTTCAAACAAATCAAACACACCGAACTGTTAGGGTTGCTTTCCTCTCTTTCTTTAACAACTTAATGTGCCTTTTTAGTAGCTTCAGTGTTCTAAATGTTGTTTTGGTTCTATTTTCATTTTTTTGTACAAATACTTCCCTATTTGATCGATGGAATTCTGACAGCTTTATGAGATCTCTCTGTTATGTTCAGGCGAGACGTCGTAGAGGACGTACCCCAACTCCAGGAAAGTACTTGGGGCTGAGAGCCGCTCGAGGTATGACATATCAGTAGCACCGGTGTAGTTGCAATTTCTTAATATCTTCTGACCTCCGCCCTTCATGATTTTGTTTCTTCTTTTTGCAGAACGGCGTCGGTCTCCTAGCTACTCTCCCCGAAGGTCTAGTAGCTATTCTCGTAGTCGCAGTCGAAGCTACTCTTCTGATCGTAGCAGATCTTATTCTCCTAGCCAACGGAGGAGCAGAAGATCACTGTCCAACTCACCCTACTATAGGCGGGGAAGATCATACTCTTATTCGAGATCTCCTCGTTACTACAGGAGACGTGACAGATCAGAATCACCTTACTACAGGAGGCGGTACAGGTCCAGGTCTTACTCTCCTGACTACAGAGCACGGGACAGATCATACTCACCCTACTACAGGGGGAGGTACAGATACAGGTCCAGATCCAGGTCATACTCGCCTCACTACAGAGCACGTGACAGATCATACTCACCTTACTACAGGGGAAGAGACCGGTCCTATTCGCCTTACTACAGAGGGAGAGACAGGTCTTACTCTCCTGAAAGTCGTTACTACAGAAGGTATGACAGGTGCCAATATATAAAAAGTCTACAGCAGTCTTATGGAAACTGAAAATAGAAGTGAACGCAGGTACAGGTCGGCATCGAGAAGCGTGAGCCCTGTGAGGAGAAGCAAGTCACGGAGCTTGTCCCCTAAGAAGGGAAGGAAAGGGAGCAGGAGCAAGTCTCACAGGCGGGACAGCCCATCTTCAATGAACCATTCGAGGAGCGCAAGATCAAGCACCTCCCCATCAGTCAGCCCGTAATAAATAATTGTTCCAATCCTGCCTTTGCTTTAGTGTTGACACAGTCACTCACATTACGTGTGTTGTAATAAATAGTAAAGTTCCTACTACTTGTGTTCGGGTATTGTGATGAACAGAATGGTGTCCGTATTTTGTGAACTTATGATGGTTTGGTGTTGATGTTATTTATCAGGTCACAATCTTTGTAAACTCCTTGTGTTTGTCATCTCTGAGTCGCATGAGAATTATTTTCTTCTTTACAGCTCGAAGGCTGTTTGCCGTTGCTACCATTGTTCTACTTTTTATGTTCTGCGAGAACAATTGAATGGATTGGATTGTAGTGCTTCATATTATATGTTTTTTGATGATGGATTCGTAAATAGATTGTGAAAAGGGTCCGAATCAACCGTTTGGGCCATTTCTTAGAAAAACCAAGAAGTTTAATATAGGTAAAATCGCTCTAAATTACTGGTAAAATCATTTTTACCGATTTGTGGCCACATCTTTAAAGATAATTTTGGAAATTGGAAAATATTGTCGTTTGACTAGTTAAATCAACGAATTTTTTTTTAAAATTGGCATTTTAAATCTTGAATTTATTTAACTAGCATATTAAAATTTTCAGATTGGCTTTTGTAGCATAAAATTATTCGATTTAATTTAAATAATAACAAAAATTAAAAATAAATAAAATTTGAAAATTACAGAAATTATAAGATTTTTTATGCGATTTTCTCTTAAATCAAATACTTCTTATATATTCAAAAATGCAAGTTGAAACCTAAATAGACCAATTCAATTCCCAAAACATCAATTGCGTGGATAATGACAAATTCTGAAAAATAGAACAAGTGTTTAGAATTAGAAACTACACAAATTATATAAATTGCAAAAAAGAAAAACTAAGTTGTTTACTAATAAACTCTTCAACAGAATGAAACAACCTAAAATAAATCCTAGGAACAAAACGAATGAAAAAAATCAGTTCTGCTTGAAATATTTCTTCCAGTGCCAATGCTTCTTCCAACGCTGCTCAGCCATGTCCTCAATAGGAACACCTCTGGTCTCTGGCAGAAAGAAAATTGCAAACAGCCCCATGATAACATTCATGACAGCAAAGAAGAAGAACAATCCCGATCTGAATCTGCATAGCGCCGACAAGAAGAACTGCCCGATAACGAAAGTGCACACCATGTTCATCGCCACTGCACAGAAGTAACCTGTTGTTCTCACCTCAAGCTGATAGATCTCAGACGGAATAAGCCACCCCAATGGTCCCCACGACCACGCAAAACCAGACACGTAGATGCAGATGAGAATCAATACTATTAGTGGCACGGCGTGACTTTTAATAGGTCCCACTAGGTGTAAGTAGTTTAAGAGCAAGGCTCCAATGGTTAACTGCGAAGCAAGCAAACAAACAAAAGTTAACTTGTGACTCAAGTAAACAAGAACCTAACTTGTTAGGCAAGAAAACTATGTTTTTTTACCTGTGTAACCATCATTTGAGTAGCTCCTTCAACCAAAAAGAATCTTCTACCGAGTTTATCAACCGTGATAACGGCCAAAATCGTAGCGAGTGCGTTCACACCGTTGGTGACAACGGTAGAGATCAAAGAAGCGTCGTTACCGCTCCCCATGGTCTGGAACAAGACCGGAGCGTAGAACATAACGACATTGATTCCAGTGAACTGTTGGAAGAACTGAAGCAACGTTCCAACCACAAGCGGCGGTCTGTTCTCACGTTTTGTAAAGAGTTCTTTGAAAGGGCTTTTCACTTTGTTTGCAATCTCTGTGGCGCGTTTGATCTCGTTGAACTCGAGTTCAATGTTGTCTAAGCCTCTAATCTTCCTCAGGACTGTCTTCCCTTCCTCGTCTTTGCCACGCTCGATGAGACTGGCTGGAGTCTCGTGGATGAAGAAAGATCCTATCAAGAGGATCAAGGCGGGAACAGCTGCACCACCTAGAGAGTATCTCCAGCCGTTTTTCATCGTTGAGGTTAAGTAGTTCACAAAACTTGCTGCTAAGATGCCAATGGTGATGAGAAACTGAAACGCTATGTTTAGTCCTCCTCTGATTCTTGCCGGTGCAATCTCTGAGATGAACAATGGAACCGTCTGCACATGTATTGGTTTCAAACGTTAGAGTCCAAACCAAAAACATAACAAAGAGTTACACAAACTAAGACGACGTGGTTCTTAGCGGAAGTTAAGAAACTGTTTCTTTCTTAAGCGTTTTTAGTTAAAATTTAAGAAACAATTTCTTAACTTCTGCTAAGAACCCCGTCTTAAGAACCTCAGGTTAATCATGCTCTAACCAAGAGTTAGAAATTTAAAAATAATAAAAAATCAAACCCTAGATAGAAAGTTTAAAGGATCTTGACCTGGTTGCCAAAACCGATACCGCAGCCAAGGAGAATACGACCACCGATCAACATGCCGAGTTCTTGGGCAAAGAAGTTGAGAATAGCACCCAAGAGGAAGAAGATGGAGGCGGACATGATTATAGGTTTTCTTCCGAACCTTCTGCATAAGTGGGAAGCAGCAAAACTGGCGAAGATGCCAGCTAAGTAAAGAGAAGAAGTGAACAACTGCAAAAGCTGGTCATCGAATTTGCAGTAGTTGTTTTCATGTACTCTGTGTTTCTTTGCGTACACGTGAGGGAAAAAATCTATCAAAAAAGTGTCCATACTTGTCACACCTCCTGCAATTTTTTAAAATAATCTCATAATCAAACATCAATAAAAAAAGAGATAAATTAAGAAGTAATTAAACCCTAAACGAACAAACAAACCTGAGATTCCGATGTCATAACCAAACATGAGACCACCAACAGCAGCAATGATACTACACATGAAGACTTGAAAAGTCAACTTTCCAGGTAAGGAAGTAGTAGCACCTTCTTCGATATCCATTACACTCACAGCCATTGTTATCTCTCTCTCTCGCTTTTTCTACCTAATTGTTATGTGTATACCCTAAAGGTTTTTAGTACTTTATAACTCGATGGAGAGTTGTGTTTCTTATATAGATGAGTTGAGAGGGTTTTGGATAAACTATGATTTTCACGTAATATTAATTGTTCTCCGGATTTTTTGGTTGACTTTGATTGTTTTATAGATAAACACTACGGATAAATCTCTAGTTAAGAAATTTTCTTTGCATATTTTGCTTTAATATCAAGAAGAAGATAATATCGATTGTAATATATTACAATTTTTAGATCGAAGATAAGTAGTATGTATATTCAGTTTACAACATTTATCCATATTGCCTTTTTTACTTCAAATTATCCACATGGTTAAATACGAACATAAATCTATGAAAACAAAAGAATAAACAACTACAATGTGGTAGTAAAAATTTAGAAATAATTTTTTTAGAAGGAAAATTAATGAATCCTAATGAGATTAAATGAACTGTTCACAAGGAAATAGAAAGTAGTAAAGTGATACTTGAACTGTTTTTTTTGAGTAATGAAAAGCAAATAACACAAAGAAAACTTCAATCCACTTATAGACACTGCCATAATAATTTTCAAGATTTTGAATATTTTGCTCCTTCTATAGTGTGGGCTCATCTCTCAAGCCCAATCACTATAGACTGATAACAATTTTTATTGGACCCATCACAAGATTTTTATATCGGTATTTGACATCCCATTTTTAATAGTGGCTAACCGATCAAAACAAGAGAAGAACATTCAGCACTTCGACCTGACTTAAGATAGGAAGATTTTGCAACCTTCACTACTCGCTAAAGTTCATGTTCCATCAATGATAAACGAATCCTTACCGTTATAAATATGGGTAAACTTTAGTACCCTCTCCCGAATCACGCTTTCTACTTTCTACATTTTGGCTGGAGAAGAATGAACCAACTCATTTGTAAAGAGAAGACTCCCTCCTATAGGTTATATTCCTAGTAATCTAATTTCACTTCTTTTAAACTGGAACTTCATAAAGGCTTGAAAACATAAACTGGGAACAATCTCTTTCAAGAATCTAAATCAAATACACATATTCTCTTGTAGCTACAAAAAAAGGAAAAAAAAAAAGTTGGAAAAACTCATAAAGCTCCTTGCTCATTCTTCAGCTTCCTCTGCCCCTTCATAAAAACATGTGGAAACATATCAATATTAACACATACTCTATCAAATCATGTTTCTACTTAACTAAACATGTGAAACTATACAATAGATGTTAGTTCAAAAAACACTAACCTTCCGTCTCATCTTCATCATCACCACCATCATCTTCATCTCCCTCCAACGCATCAACACCATACCTAGCATTCAAAAACTCAACCGCCGCAGGAGTCAACACGAGCTTATCCGAATTCAAAATATCAAACAAATTCAACGTCCTAGGCGTCAACATCCTCAACGTCCCAATATTCCTACTCGACTTCGCAACGTTCTCCTCCACATCAATCATCAGAAACATAGCTTTCTCCTTCGGATCCAACCCCCACCTCTTCATCGCAGCCAAAAACTCCTTAGTCTTCGGCTTCTCAAACCTATCCCCAAACTCCTCCACCACAATCGCCCCACCTTCCGCCGTCACCGCGCTAGAAATCGCCGTCGATATCGCGAGCCTCTTCTCCTTCCTGTTGATCTTTATCGACCAATCCCTCGGCTTCGGACCGAACACCACGCCTCCGCCGGGACGCAGCGGCGTCCTCTGAGACCCTCTCCTCGCGTTACCGGTCTTCTTCTGCGCGTAAGGCTTGATTCCACCGCCTCGGACTTCGCCGCGAGTCAGCGTCGACGCCGTGCCTCGCCGCTTGTTCTGTAGGTCGTTGACGATTGCGCGGTGGACGACGGCGCGCGCGGTGTACTCCGGCGCGGATTTGAGGTCTAGGTAAGTCTCTCCGATTTTCTCTCCCTCGAAGGAGAAGATTGGTAGTGTCGCTAGCTGGGATGCGACGGAGAGAGGCTTTGAAAGTCTGCCGGAGATTGGTTTCGCGACGGAGATGGAGATTTTAGGGATTCGGTGAGAGGAGGATAAGAAGAGAGAAGAGGAGAAGAAGGATAGTGAGTTTGGTGCTGTTGCAGAGGAAGCCATTGTTGTCGCCTGACCTTATCACACAACAAAGAAGAAGAAGAACACTGTCTGAAAGGGGGTTATCCACTTATCTTGTGATTGGTAAGAATTTACCTGTTTGGATACAAGGATATCAATATCCTTTTGGGTTTCTTGTTTAAAGTTGGGCCTTTGTAAACTTTAAGCGATTCTGTATGCGAGCCCATTGGGCTATTGAAAAATAAAAATAACGACAGCTGTCTCAAGTAAGAGAGAGTCAAAAGCCTCTGCGCTAGCCAGAAGGTTTCATAAAGCTTTAAAGTTTAAAACTCTGTGCTTAAAAATATCTAGATAACGAGCGCACGTTAGCTAACAACCACCGCGAAAAATCAACCGTAACAACCTCCAAAAACGCAACCGTATCATGGCCTCGTCTGATCCACTCGACCTCACCGTAACCGTCGTCTCAGCCAAGCACCTGAAGAACGTCAACTGGCGCAACGGAGACTTGAAACCTTACGTCGTCCTCTACCTCGACACCGATCACCGAGTCTCCACTCGCTCCGACGATTCCACCAAACCGGTCTGGAACGAGCCGATCACTCTCCCTCTCACCCGATCCGTCCACGAATCGGTCCTCAACATCGAGATAATCCATTCCGTTACTTCCTCCGATGTCGCGGCGAAAACACTCGTCGGATCGGTTAGGTTTCCTCTCGTTCGATTGATTGACTCGGAGGGAGGGATGACGAGTCACGAATCGTTAAACTCGTTAGAGCTTGTGCGTCCCTCGGGGAGGACGCAAGGGAAGATTCGGTTGAAGCTCTCGATCAAGGAGAGAGTTATCCTTCCACCGCAGCGTCCTCAATCGCAACCGAGAGATTACTATTCTACCCCTCAAGGAAATCATTATTACTCCCCAAGCCCTCCTCCTCCTCCTCCGATGACATCTCCGTATAGAGAATTCTCACCGTCTCCTTATCCGTTCACCGATCACTACTATTCCGGATTCTACTACCCTCCTCCTCCTCCGTCGCGTTCGATGTACGATCGGGCCTCCAATTACGGCCCAGCCGATGTTCCGTTAGCTCCTCCTCGGTTTTCGCAGCCCAGTGGGCCTTCAGCTCCCGTGGAGGCCTTTCAGGTGAACGAGTATAAGCCGCCGCAGCCGCAGGGTCCGCCTGTGGGCTCGCGGTTGTCGAGTTACGGAGTGCCAGGTGGCCCGTCGGCTCCTGTGGATTACTCTCCTTATGATCACAGGCAGTTGCAGAAGACGGTGGGTGGGTTGAGCTTGGAGGAAGAGAGAGGAGGTGCTGCGGAGAGGTCTGAGAGTGAGTTTGGAGGTAGGCCGAGTTACGGTTACGGCCGTGAGTATCGCCGTGAATGTTAGAAAGCTGTGGAATTTCATTTAAGTGTGTGATGGAAAAAAAGTTGTGGAGTTTCATTTAAGTGTGTGATGTTTTTTTTAAGGCTTTGCTTATCATCAGAATTTACCTTTGTGTTGGTGTTTATAGATCATATGAATTTGGTGAATTGACTCTGAAGATATGATATGCCTATATATGTATTTATTGTTTGTTAATTGATATCATTGCTTTTTTTTTTCTCGTTGTTTATGTATGTGTCTGAAGAACATGAGGTACACTGTACCTTGTACATGTTTCTAAAACAACTCTAGTTTCGTCTCTTCCTTCAACTTCTTGCAATGATTTGCTCAACTTGTTGAATCAGGCTATTGGGCTCTTAGGGGTTGATGATATGATGTGAATCCTTTCTCTGTTAATTTACGTTTGTACTATGAACCATGCTCAGATTATGGTAGTATGCTTTGTCTCAGACATGAACCGTCCTATGTCCTGCAGTTCTACATATTGTGTTTGCAGGTTGGTTAAAGACTTCTGCGTAATTATCATGTGGATCCAATCCCTGTTTGGCTATATCAATGTGTGAGTTTTACTTTCTTAGTCTTTTTGTACATTATCAACCAAATGAAGTAGCTAAATGTGTGAAGTACCTCTCTTGTGAATTGTAATAATAGAAGCAGTGATCTCTTTGTGTCAGATAATAATCCATTGGGGGTTATGGTTGGATTGATGTGTCTGATTAATTGAATTATGCACACAAGTTGGTGCTAAATCTTTTCTGCTCTTGTTTTGACGCTGCGATAGAGCAGTTGTGCTATTGCATTCTTTTCCCGTTTGGCATTTTTGAAACCTGTCATGTATGTCAGTCAGTCTCAGGCCATTAGCATCTAATCACCGAATTTATACTGCAGGAATTATTTGTTCTGATCTTAATGGAATGTTTCTCACATGTAAAATCGCTCTCCAGCCTCCAAAAGTGTGATCTTCTATTTCTGTCCTGACACTCCCGGTTCTTCTATGCTTTCTCATATTCGTGTGCCCACCATTAACTTGTTTTTCTTTTACTTTCTTCCTTTCCCCCTTTTTTGTAGCCGCAGACTCGTGAATGGAATCTGCCCATCCATAAAGGTAAGTTTAATATTGGCCTCTCCTGGAGTCAAAAATAAACTTTTTTCAGATTGTTTTGTGCACACATGAGTGATCATCAAAGAAGAATGATACCAAATGGTTGCTTCATTAGAAAGAGCCTTTTTCATCGCTTAAACAAAGGTTTTATTCCCTCTGTGGACCGTAAAGTAAAACTAAACATAGTCTTCTCTTTTTGCTCTTGCGCATAGCTCTCTTTATAAATTTTGGTAGTTCCACTTTAACTACAATTCTCGGTCTATATGGGATCGAAAGCTACACTTTCTTTTTACTTATTTTATGTGTTTATCCCTCGAGTGCTCAATCATGGCCTAAGTGTAATGATGTTATGAATACATCTAATCATGTCTTTTCCCTTCTTTTCATGAACTGTTCTCAGCTCCAGTCCCTTAAATATCTCTCAGTACCCTCATATTGTTTCCCATAAACCTCTCTCACTCCCTCTTATTATGTCAGCTACTGGAACAAAACGAATCAGCACAAACACTGGACCGGGTCAGAGAGATGCTTCGGTTATGCAAACCGCAATCAAGGGACCTCAGGGTGGTAAGATCCCTGGGTGCACAACGAGCTGTGGATTGAGGTTGCCGAGAAAAACTGAAGCCACAGCAGCAAGGATGATTAAGCATCTTGGCTGTAAATTTGCAAAAGGTTTGCGTCTGGTGGTGATGAGGAAGAAGAAAAAATCTCCAACGTCAAAGGGAGGATCTTCTTCTTTTTCCTCCGGTAGGTCTCAGCCATCGATCATGCCCATTAGCAATGACAATCATAGATCAGAGGCTATAGAAGACTGCATAGAGTTCATTAACTCATCATCCTCCTTCACCAGATCAAACTCTACTTCTTAACTCTTTTAAGTTTAATCACTCCCTTTGTCTTGGTCGTTCATTGTCTATTTGCTTATTTTGTGAGAATTACATGTACTTGTCTAGATAATAATGTCTATGTGACTTTTGTTGATGTGTACTATGGCAGTAGTTCAGTAAATATGTCTAATCGTCCTCTTGTTCTTGCTATTTGGGTTGAAATATTCATCTTTGTTCATGAGTAGTCATATTATATCATTTTCACTCGATTGGATTCATAAAACACTTTTTAATAATCATAAACATTCAGAAAAACTACTGAATATTTATCTGAAATAACTATATTTAGAATGTCTGTATGGAACTACCTTTTATCAACTTCATTGTCGTAGTAAAAATGATTAATCTTGTAAGAGTAAACTAAAAGTAATTTATCCAAAAAGTTAATAAAGTAGGAGGTGCTTATAATATGGCCAACTATTGGTATAGCTTTGCTATTGACACCTTCAAATGAACGGCACACCACCACCTGAAGAAGTATACAAAGATCAAATGAGTGCGCGTGTGTTAACATGTTTATAGCCAAAAATGACACATCTCTGTTTAAAGTTTTTTTACCTAATTCAGTCTTATCTTTTAATAGATGATTGCAAATTGTAGGTCGTGTTCAATTTGTTATAAAATATGCATCGTCTACTAAAAGTTGAAGTACCCACTAAATACTAATCGTCTAGAACTATACTATAAATACAATTGTTAATGTTGTTCATCCACTGGTTCTCCTTTATGTAAATCTTATATCAATCAAAATCAAATAAATTAGTAGTCATGTGTCGGCAAGTGTGCAATAAAATCAATTTTGACCGGCGGCTAGTTCAAACTAACAATAGCCTTCGATGTAAAATGGTTCAGTTAATAGCCGAAGCACGAAGCCCATATAACAAGCCCAAATATATTAAAGCCCAAGTTTAAGTTTAAAAAACCCCGATTAGTCAAATAGTAACCGGCGATCTTCCCGCCAGGAAAGTAGCCATGGATACCGGCGTAGCCTCAAGCCTAAGTTATTAGCAGCACATATCATTCCGTTCCTCAGCTGATTATTTATAAAAAAAATAATTATAAAATCTTTCCCCAGAATACAAGAACATTAATAAAAAGAGTAAGCTGTGAACTGAACATGGACCGTTACTTACTCACTAAATCTCTGCCTCGGTATTCTCGCTTAGATCCTCCTCCCACGTTCCTCTTCACCGCTTTGCGTGTTTCCTACAAAAAAAAAAAAAGTCACGTCACCTCCATCGTCGCCGCTTTTTCTCTTCACAAAAAGCGGTGTAAGATCTGATTCCCATTAACAATCGTACACTTGAAATCGAATCTATACGCTGCCGTATTTTGAGCGTTTGTCGAGCTGATAAAAAGTGTTAACACCTTTTCATTACACTTATCATTCGTAGAAAAGAGACTTTCAAATATGACTGCTGCTGAACTTGAAGCGGGTGTGTCCCGTGAAGCAGATGAATCAGAGCTGAATCTTTTCAGTGAGAATAGTAGTCAAAGTGTTGTCTCTCAACTTCTTGATCATATCAACAGCCAGGAGAAGAGCTCCCAACGTAGAGGAGTCTTTAGTGAAAGGTAGTTTACATGCTTATGTACTCTGTTTTCTTCAGCTGGTTCAAGGTTATATATGATAGAACTTTCTTGATTTCTTTCTGAAGGTTTCTCAGATGGAGAAGGAGGTATCTTCCTGTTGGTGGAGAAAACAGGCGTGACCACGGCTCAGTGAAACTTTCAGGACCCCTTGTCTCTGGAGCTGCTTACTGTATCTCTTCCTGTAGTATGATACTTATGAACAAAGTTGTTCTCTCCACTTATAATTTCAACGCTGGAATCTCTTTGATGTTGTATCAAGTAAGAAGAGAATACTAATCCATGGAGCTATAAGATGATTTGACTTACTATATATATTTTGGTAATTTCAGAACTTAATCAGCTGTTTGGTGGTAGCTCTACTAAAATTCTCTGGAGTGGTTTCAGTTGAAAAATTCAACTGGAAGTTGATTAGAGTTTGGTTGCCTGTCAATGTTATCTTTGTTGGCATGCTAATATCAGGGATGTACAGGTCAGTAACGTTTCAACATCAGTCAAGAAACTTAATTGGTCAATACTATTGTTTGAGACTAATGCAAACATTACATTGATTTTTTCCAGTTTGAAATACATAAACGTTGCTATGGTGACTATTTTGAAGAACGCAACGAATATTATTACAGCGATAGGAGAATTATACATGTTCCGCAAAAGGCAGAACAACAAAGTTTGGGCTGCAATGTTCATGATGGTTAGTTAAATTACACATCTTTGCCTGATATCAAAGTGATACCAACCTAAGTGTTTGTAATATAGATCATATCTGCAATCAGTGGAGGCATCACGGATCTCACATTCAATGCGGTAGGGTACACGTGGCAGACTGCCAACTGCGTTTTAACCGCAAGTTATTCAGTAAGTTTCATGCTTATGAAATCAGTAACAAGATGCTCTCACTCTCTATAGTGATGATCTTTCAACTCTTTGTCACAGCTTACACTGCGTAGAGTCATGGACAAAGCAAAACAGTCCACAAAATCAGGGACCCTTAATGAGGTGTCAATGGTGCTGCTGAATAATCTCTTGTCACTACCTTTTGGCATCATCTTGGTCATCTTACTTGGTGAATGGAGATACGTAATTAGCACGTACGTATTTTCAAAATACAGATTGTCCACAAATTTAATATCTCTTGTCATTTTCTCACATCTAACACATTTGATGTTCATTGTGTTTTTACTCACTGGCAGTGATGTCACAAACGATGCAATGTTTTGGGTAGTGGCAACAGCAAGCGGCTTCCTTGGTCTAGCCATCAGCTTCACTTCAATGTGGTTCTTACATCAAACAGGACCCACAACATACAGGTATCATCACTCGTTCCAAACTATTTAAAGAAACTTTGCCTTGTAATATTTCATTTCATTTGTAATTGGGCTATATAATGTGTGCAGTCTGGTGGGTTCATTAAACAAGGTTCCGATATCATTATCTGGTCTTGTACTCTTCAATGTCCCTCTCAGTCTCCCAAATTTGTTCAGCATACTTTTTGGTAAGTCAGCACAGTTCATGCTATATGCTTCTTCTTTTTAATGCGTTAAGATGGGAGGAATTGTGTATTATATGTACATTTGTTTTGCAGGTTTATTTGCTGGAGTGGTCTTTGCCAGAGCCAAAATGTCCTAATCCTGTTTCCAAGACGGAGTATAGCTCCTCAGAGGCAGAAGACAACACATAAACAAAACAAAGAAAACTGAGAAGAGGAACAATAGTTTCAACTTTTAATACAATACAAGGTAGAACTTAGGGTTTACTATTATAGTACAGATAGTAATTCTATATTTCAAAAGAATCACATATTCAAAATTTTCTATACGTAATAAAACCACCTTGCTGTTTTGACTTCTTTTAACGTATCAACATAATATAGTACTATAATAATCTTTTCCTCGTCTGTTTTTGGGTTCACTCTGATGTGACTAAAAAAAAAACTATGCCGAGCAACCAAGTTACTATTGAGCAGGCCTGCTATTTGAGAAATGATGAAGTTGAATTATAATACTATCAAATCACCTTATGAAAAAGTTATCGTTGAATGTGACTGCAGCACTCCAAAATGTTAAAATACTAATGAACAAACTATATAGTTCCAAATCTTACATCAATTAATACATCTACCAGAAAAGGGTTATTATTATGTGATTAGAAGAAGGTAAAGAAAATGAATTCACGTGAAGATAAATAGATCTGCGTGTATCCCGAAGCTCGTTATGGAGACTATACAGTATACACACAAAGTCCTAAAATAAAGAGGGTAGCTGATAATGAGTGTTTAGAAAAAAAAAAAGGAAGAGAGACGTGTCCCTCTTTTGGGGGGTTCACATTACAGTTTTTTGAGGGTTTTCTCTCATGATCCAATGTGTTGTAGAGAGATCTAATGAAACGTGGGATCGAGAAAGGTTTTTTGGGTTTTTACAAAATCTACACAAGTACACATGCTCTCCTGACTCCAACCTCTTTTGTTGCTTTTAATAACTTTTAGTCAACAATAAGCAAAGATTATTATAAGGGAAATTGGGCTTAATAACCAAACAAAAACTCATATTTAGCCTACTAGTCAAAAGCCCTAACGGATCACCTCACGCCGTCTGCTTTCTATAATATTTCCATATTATCCCTGTAGTAAACTGGTTTCACCGGCTGAAATAAATAAAATTATTTTACTTTTTTTCTGGCAGAAACTGTAAATCGTGTCTACCCGTC